AACCCTATTTTTTCCACTCGCGTACATTTTCAGATTTGTCTTGAATACAGTAATTCACCTTTAATGGTTAAACTGCTTACAACTCATAGACATTTTAAACTTTGATGGGTTGTTGGCAGGAAACCACAGGCTTAAATCTTAACACTGAGCAATCGTACTCGGTCTTGCGGTTTTATATTATCCTGTATAAGGATCAAAATGAATTACCTTAGTGTATATTTTTAAAATTTCAAGCAACAAGCCCATTAAATGAAAAAATACATAGTTCGTCCATGACCTCTAGCAAAACTCAAACATTGTCTGAGCTGACGCCACCGGTATTGGCAGGATGGCATCATCTGTCTGTGCCTGCCACATCCTTACAAATCACTGCTGAAAAATGTGTTTCATTCAGTCAAGGTTTGGTTCAGATTCGGCATAAAAATTGAAAGCTTCACTGGACTCCACATAAAAGATATGGATTGTGGAAAATGTCTTTATTAATCCTACTTGTCATCACCTATGTGTGCAGATCTACTGACATTTTATTGTATTTCATACCCTCGTAACATTAACATATAACTTCTACACTCATAGGAAACATAATGTTCCGTCTATGGAGGACAGTCATCAGCACTCAGAATGAGGGTCTTAAGGACATTCGCTTTTAATGCACCACAGTGTCTGTTTAACTATGTTATGCTTGAGTCATGTCCACAGTATAGGAAATATGATTCGCTATATAAACAGTACACACATGCAGTTGCCCTAAGACTTCTCATTACAAGTCAGGAGGGATTTTACTCTTATAGCTTTGAATGATCACAAACGCTAGTGTCAGACAACACTCGTAACTTAAAAGCAGATGTGAACAAAATTGTGCAAATCAGTGAGGGAACAGGCTGTGTGTGGGGGGGAGGCCTGACGCAGCAAAATCCACCTGTTTTCCTCCCTCTCCATCCTCCTCTCCTCTCCTCCGCCTCTTATTCCCCGCCCTTGCTCCCAGCTCAAACTGCGGCAGTCGGCTAATTAAAAAACATGGCTGTCCTTAATTATTCAGCGGCTGGCTAATTGATATTCACAGAGGCGTTCACCTCGCCTAAACGATCCGTTTAATCTGACCACCACGGTCTCACTCCGAGCCGGCTGTCACCCTCAGCTATTGTGCTACTGTACTTACTAATAGACCAGGGGGCAACGGATACAAGCAGGGGGAAAGTGAAAGTTTGCTGCTGGTGTTAATGTGGTTTCCTTGGCTACAAATAGCAGCATGTGGGGAGGTACTGTTGTGAGTGTTTGTAGTTTAACATGGGTATTTTGTTTTTCCTCTTTGTCAGGGTTGGCTTCACAGGAAAATTAGATGGCGTAAGAGGCTGTATCGAATAAAGTGAATCAGCCTGAATGAATCACATCATCCTCCGGACTTGCAAAGTTTAAGATTTGCTCCCTAAAATAAGGAAAATATATTTTTAAGGTGTTATTTGTAGTAGTTTGGAAGCCACTGAAGTTTATCATAGTCTTTTTTCCTCTTTTCCTCTTCCTAACTTCTCCCATCTTTTCTGAACTTTATGATAATTTTCTCCCTCCATCTTTTCTCTAAAGTTATAGAGACTCCCTTCCAAGGCTCCATGTCCCATTCAACAGCCAGCTCTCCATTTTTGACACCTCTAATGATAAATCTCCTTTCATTGTCCACTCCTCTTTGTCTCTTATCTCTCCATTCCCCCCACTCTCAAGTTCACTTTCATTTTCTTCCCTCCCCCCCACCCTTATCCCAGAGCTCTCCTCCTCCACCCGCGACCGCCTCTTCATTTGGGGAACAAAAGGTGCATGGGCAGTGGTGAAGTCTGTCCCATTGTTTGGCCTTTAGTATGATTAGATTATCTCTAAAGTCGGCTGAATGGGGTTAATCAGTCGGAAGTAATCCTGACGTAGTGTGTGTCTGGGCTTGTGTGTGCAGTCAGAGAGGTGGGCCAACCTGCTCGCATGGAAATTGAACACATGCACGGGCGCACACACACACACTGACACACAAAAGTGAGCAAAATCCCTGGGTACACATTTCTGTCACAACCTCTCTTCTTTTAATGACCCCTTTAGTCTCGCCTTCAGCACACATTTATCTCTCCACCCGCTCTCTGTGGGTACAGCTGCTCCGGCTGGTGTGAATGTGTGTGTGTGTGTGTGTGTGTGATGATGTGTGCCTCTCAGAACAGCGTCTCAGCTGTTGTTTGTGTCTCGGCGTTTGCGTGCATCTTTTGTCTCTCTTTGCAAAGTTAAACCCAGCGGTCACCACCCATCGGCATAACATTGAGTTTGGACACACTTGTGACAGGACACGACCCCCTGCCAGCCCTCTCCTCCATCCCATCATCCCTCCTCTCTAAATTGAGCCGTCGGTGGGAGACAGTTTTTTGGCACCTCAGCCAATGTAATCTAGCCTGTCAAAAACTTTGCCACTCCATCCTTGAAGACCTGATTGCACTCTTGGAATTGATAACACATTTAAAGGTCATACTAGTGCTGTTTCTACTCTACATACTTTAAAGTGTGTACTTCAGTGTACATTCACCTAGTGCTTTCATTTTTCTAGGCTTAAGTCAAACTTGATTCTGTCATGAATTCCAAGCACTTTCTGTATAATACCGGCTGCCTCAGAGTAGCACTTCAGACTCGTAAGGGAGACGGTTGTGTGACCGCGTCAACAAGACCAGCTAATGTTAGGTTGTGCTGAGGGCTGTGGGGCAACTTTGTCACGGCGTTGCTTTTCTGAGTGTTGTTGTGGATGTGATGAATTGCATAGTTTTTTTTTCTCCTCTTATCTGGCTCTAGAGATGACATAGTGTGTAGGTGTGTGTGTGCGTTGTTGGTAGGTTTCTGTCCTGTGTGTAGTACAGGAGCTCAGAACATCCCCTTGACTTTGAAACTTTCCCCCAATCATCTCATGCGAGGACGGCCCCTCAGCGACTCTCCCCGCTGCTCATCAGTGTGCGTTGAGCAGCGCTGTTGTATTGAGAGGGTTGAGCACAGATGGTTATCAGTGTGGTAGAGATTGAGTATGCAAATTATTTTTCCGACTCTATAAGTTCTATATTTTTCATATTTTGTCTCCTATATCCTATAGTCCCCTATAGAAAGCAATGGCTTCAAGGCTCTATCTCCATGCTTTGGTGGATTGTGTGTGTGCATGTGTGTGTTTTAGTTATTGTGTGTGTGTATAAACCAGTGAGTGAGAAGATTGAGTGGATGAAGTGTGCGAGTATTCAAGCAGAACACTGTGGCAGCCAGTCACCCTTAGCCTCTGAATACTAAACCTTTCCAAATGCCACTTTGAAGAAGTTCATGGATGAATCAGTGCCTCTTCACACTTTGTTTCTCTCTCTCTCTCTTTCTCCTTTTTTCTCTCAACGCTTCCCTCATTCAGGAGATTGGATTGAAGGTAAGTCTAGAGGCCTTTACCTTCACCGACAATCTACAGTTCTCTTTCACTGTTTTGGCGCAATCGAGTCAAGGATTTCTCTTTCCTTTCAGCTACCTTGACATCTTACATTTTTCTTCCCAGCAGGTATTTCAGCGACTCCATATTTATATGATCCTTGCTCCAAATGCTTTGTAGAATTATAGATGAGATGACAACTTCGGCTTGTTTCTGAAGATTTACAAGGCTCGACAACGCGAGCGCTTCACTTGCATTTTTGACTAAAAATAGGTGTGTGAAAAAAATGTACAACAAAACTTAGCTCAAGCAGCCAACACTAATGAGGCTGAAAAAGTAATTGCTAGAGATGTGTGTGATAAGTTAACTTTGCTACCCTTGCCACCGGGCAACAGAAAGTCCCCATGTCACCACCTTTATGTTGTAACCACTAAGGTGAAATGTCGGACAGATGACATCTTTTAAAGCCAAAATTACAATGAGCTTTTATAAAGACAGATTCAGCACAGTATGAGAGCAGACGCTGGGATGCCGATTCAGCTGTGCTCAATTTTGACAGTTGATAGTTATATCTGCTATTTATACGTCTTCATACATACAAACGCCCCTTGTTTACGAGCTGTCATGAGCTGAATCAAAAATCACATGATCCACTCGTTTGCATTGTATTTAGAGCGAAGAACTCCTTTGTGTTTGTATGTTTTTTTTCCGTCTCTTTTTATTCTAGTCATCATGCACTTTTTTGAATACCACAAAAGTTTTTATCCTTCTGCCAAAACCAGGTTTCGCTAGATACACTGTTTATCCTGTTTGAATGAAAGGAATTCTTTAAGGCAGTAAAGATATTTTTCAACTAAACATTAAAGTGTAAAGTGAATAATTTTACAGATGACAGGATGTCAACAACAGAAACCCAATTTCATCAGTTTTTAAATCCTATTCTAAAGCCATCATCTCACCATTACAAGAGGATGATGAGAAGTAATTCTACAATTAAAAATATGTGGACTCCATTGTGTTTCACTGGCCCTCTGTGGAAGTGTAAAGGTGTTTGTGGCTTTTTTGCCCTCTGGGAGAATACATCCAGGTCTTATCTGTCCTGTATATCACCCAGAGAGTCAAGCGTACGTCTAGTGAAGGTCATAGTCGATTGGAGGACAGTGGAGATAGGTACAGGCCAACTAAATATATATGCCAGACTGTGGTGCTCGTTCGCATGGAGGACTGATGTTATCCTCTTAGCTTGATAGAGGTTCGGCCGAAGATTGAGCACAAGAGGACAAAGAAGCTCATACAGTAGCTACCGAGGCATGATCAGTCTCACACACGTGGACAGTCCGGAGTAGGTTTTTTCCATGCATTGAGCAAAACGTGCAACACATCTCTATTTTGCAATTCTCTTGTGTGTATTTATACTTGTTTATTTTTTGATTGGTTTTTGTTAAAATTGGTGACGGTCCACTGGGCACATAAGTAATGGTTTTTCTTGTTTCCTTTTTGTGTGTGTGTGTGTGTGTGTGTATGCTGTGTATTGTGCACATTCTTTGGTATGTGTGTGTGTTTGTTTTTATGTGTGCGTGTTTAGGCCAAGCAGCTGGAGGCCAGAGAAGCAGATTTGAAGAAGCAGGATGCTTTCTACAGAGAGCAGGTGGCGCGGCTGGAGGAAAGGGTAAGAAAATGTTTGCGGCATACACAGTAGCTCTGCCACCCATTGCAGAATGAAGTGATGATATTTGATTCATTTTACATTAATGATTTATTTTCACGCTGTCACATTTAATCATTGATAAGCCTTCACTTAGCGCAATTCTCAAACAAAAATGGAGACTTTGGTGGATTCAAAAAAAAAAACTTGTTTCATTTACTTGGATTGTAAACCAGAAATCTATACTACATGACAGGGTGGTGATCTGAACATTGTTGTGTGATGTAGGTACGAGCACAGTAAGTAAAAAACTAAACCCTGCATTGTACACTCATAGAGCAACAGTGCTGTTTTCAAGAACAGACATGCAGTGGTCGACACAGGAACCAGTGCACACAGATCCATGTGCACAGTTCAGCCATCATACCCAGTAGGCTTGCTCATAATGGGGCTCAGACTTGATACGCTCACATTTCTTCCTTCTCTTCATCCCTCTGCCCCACTGTTTTTGTTATCATCCCTTTACTTAAGCTCTGCATGCTTTTCCAAGCCTGGTGGATCCCCTTCTCTCTCTCTCTCTCTCTCTCTCTCTCTTTCTCACTTGTGTGTCTTTCTGTAATTCTGTCTCTCGACCGCTTTAATTTCCTACCTCCGTTCTTCCACCTGAAGGATAAAAGGTCAAATCTCATTCATCTCTGCATGCGCCCTCCTGTCCCTGAAAATGACACTACCCCCAATTCAAATTGTCAAACCAGTGTCCTACTAAAGGGACAAGGGTCACCCGCTCCTTGCTGGTCCCAGTGAGAGATGCCTGCGAGGCATGGGGACCAAGGTCAAATGCCCCTTTAACGTGTGTTAAAAATGTCACCCTCACGCTGCTCTCAAATCACAAGCGTGTCTAAGGAAGGATGCAACGCCCTGTTTAATGTGCTTCAAATGACACCTTCATGCTGGGAAGGAGTTTTGTCCCCTTTGGAGAGAGCAAAAAGTCAAATGCCCTTTATGGTGAAAGCCAAATGGAAATGTCACACTGTCATGAAGAAGACACTCATGCATTCTTATTCTTAGAAGCTCATACGAAAACAACAGTTGTACAACATCACATCCTCAGTGGGCACTTTGTCCTCTAAAGGACCTCAGTGTATTTTTATTTGTTTAAACAAATGGCTAAAATTTTACCTCTTGGGGAACATATGAGCTGAGTCTCATACAGTCTGGTCTACAGATGCTTTCCATGATCAGCATCACCACTGTCTTACCCTGATTGTTGTTGCCAAGCAACAGAGCTGAAGTCGGACACACCAAGGAAGTTTGAATGCCCCTTGTTTAGTTTTTTTTTTAACATGCGTATCATTAGCTGTTCTTTTGAGTTGAAGCCTCATACTCAAGCATTGCACGTCTCCATGCTCGCTGTTAAAAAAATAGTTTGTCACTGAAGGACAATGAATCTGTTGGAGCCTTTTTCTCATAAAAGGATAAATGTTGGCCACGTTTGAAGGAGACTTCAAAATGGGACAGCCAAGTCGTGCCACTGTGACGTAATCACTCTCCAAATCCAGCCTCCAAATGATCTAAATACACGTATCTTTCTCAAAGTTTACTGTTGTACTAACCGCACTTGTTTAACATTTTTACTGTGGATTTGTAAGCTTCGTTTTGCAAACTTTGAGTCAATCCATCACTGAAGATGAATTCTTAAGCCAGTGGGTATTGAGTGGTAGTGGACCTCTGTCAGTAATTGGAAATGCACTGGCCTGTAGAATTTTGGTTGGGCAGCAGAGAGCAGAGGAAGCCATTTACTGACGTCAGAGTGTAAATTAGGTGTAAATGAATCAATGGATCATTTACAAAGAAAACTTCTATCTTTTTGTAGGTTTATGTTTTGGCAGAATAATGCTGAAAGAATATGGGACATATGCCGGAGTCGCACTTGAACTTCCACAGATCCAGCTGCACTGCTTGAGCTTCTCTTTCTATTTCTCAGCTTGTTCCATCTTTGGACTGTGTACCTCTACTGTATTGGAGCAAATGTGAGAGCCGATGGTCCAAGTGATGAGTCCCAACTAACGCAGGCTTTATCGACTCTAGGCGCTGGCCATCCATCAGCCATGTTGGCCTCTGGTCAATATTCCTTGGATCAAAGTGTCAACTAATCACCTTCACACCTCAGAGACACAAGAGAGAGAGAGAGAGAGAGAGAGAGAGAGAGAGAGAGATGGATAAACAACATAGAAAGAGATACTCAATGAACGGTAGAGGCTAAGGGAAAAAAAGAAACTTTGACAGGTAGAGATGCTGAAATAAAAAAGATTTGACCTGAGAAGGATTGAAAAGAAAAAAAGTGAGATTGGTAAGTGAGTAATAGAGGATAAGAGCAAAAGACTAAAGTAAAAGAAAAAAGACAGAAGAGCAGTAAAAAGACAAAATGTCAACTGAATGATAAAGAATGAGAGAGAATGGTAAAGAAAAGGGTGAAAGAAAAGATACAACCTGACACTGAACAGTAAAAACATAAATGTGAGACAGTAAAAAATGATTTATTTATGCACAAGAATGGAATAATGACGTAATTACATTTCCAAACAATTTATCTCCAAACTCTGCACACAACCACATCCTTTCATTTTGCAAATAACTCCATGAGCTGTACGGCCCCGCAGAGACAAAACACAACAGAAGTGACCATATGTGCGTTTCGTGTGACGGTGTTTGATCCTGTGTGTAATTGAGGATCAATGGTGGGCATATCGCATGTTACCTTACTGTGCAGAGAGCGGCCTGGGACTCCACGGGGGGGTGCGATTTGTTTGGACTATGTTAATATCACTCCTTTTTCTTGTGCTGGCCACAGTGCCCCATTTGGCTCCCAGTCCAGCCTCTGTTCTCTCCCTGTTCCCTTCACCCAGCGGAAACCCAACACAACAAAATAGCTTTTTGTTTTCTTCTCCCTGTAATTCCTGTTTGGTTAAATACATGGATACCAAAGGAAGGTGTTTAATACAGAAAGACGGCTCAGAGAACAATTTACAATTACAAACATACAGCGAAACACAGATGAGCAATAACAGAGCCCAACTGATAAGGATATTTCAAACAAATGGCGATGATTCCTAGATGTATTAAGACAAAGAAGTGTTATTGAGGCTTAATATTTTACTATTATTACTATTACTATTACTATTTAACTTTATTATAAATAACTGTAAATAAAAAGAACACAAATACGAGCAAATATATAAAACTGAAAATATTTTTTTTATGTAAAATGTTAACATTATTGCACATCTTGTCTGCTTGTATTATTCTATAAAATAGATTTTTTTCATATTTGTCCATATGGGTGTGTACATGCTGTGATGTCATGTGTGTATTACACTTAGATATGTGTGGGATTGATGGTGTGTGAAAAAGAACTGCTCTTGTGTGTGGTTGTTGTGGCACACCATGCTCTGCAGTGCGGGAGTAGATGATGTTCGTATCATAAAAGTTTCATGAGCGAACATAAAGTAAATTCCTAAACGTGCGTAACTTCAGGGAAGAAAATGAGGAATGTGTGACACAGAATCTTTATATGACATGAGTGGTGTGTGTGTATTGGAGGGTGGTGAACAAAGCAGTAATTTTTCTAACCGGTCTGCACCATAAGAAGGATGACAAGTCTTTACTTCCTCATCTCTCGTGTGGATACGGGTGCAGCCATCTTTCAAACTCTATTTTAACTTCTTTGTATCAAGCCCTCTGATTGGCTGTTAATTGTCTCAATCAAATTTTAACACTATAACATATTATCATTGAGAAAATGTACTAGACCTGTTAGTTTGGTCCATGTCCCATCTACTGACATGGAGGAGACTGGGTTTATGTCCTATGCCTCAACTAGCCACCAAGGGATGATCAAGGCAAATTGGCGTCACTTCAGAGGAGCTGTCATGTCGTCTCTATAAAATACTTTGGTCTGCACACACTGTAGCTAACAAACTCTAACGCTGCTTTTCTGTTTTGGTTGTAAACTCTAGATTTTTTTTGCACCAAGTTTTATTTCAGCTGCAGTTTGTACCTTCAGTTTAATATTATCTCCCGTCACTCTCCTCGCCCTCCCTCCATCTCGCCGTGTTCCTCACTTTTACCTCAGGTTTCCCCACACACCCACAAACAGGCAGAGAAACCAAAAGAGAGAGAGAGAGAGAATATAAGTCTGATATATATTACACGTCTGTTCCAATCCAACATGGCCATTCATCAGAGGGGCTTCCAGTGACAGGCCATCACCAAGCTCCCAGACAGCTCAGCCTGCTGCCTCTGCTGCTGCCGCTCTTTGGGGCCACCTCGAGCAAATAGCCCCTGAAAACAATATCTATATATTTATTACATTTTCACTCAATACCTGCCCCGCTGTAAAACAATCTCATATTTAACAATCAACTCGCCCATGTTTTCTTTTTCTTTTTTTTTCCTGATCATGTCTCATTCCAACCCTCCCTCCCTCCCTTACTGCCACATCTGTCTCTCTATATCTCTCCTTTTTTTTTTCTCCTGCTTTTTTTTTTCTCTCAAGTGGTGTTTTTTTCTCCCCTCCATGCCTCAATTTCATTTTTTTCTGAAGGGATTTTTCTTCTCCTTTTTTTCTATCTTTCTTTCGCCTTGTATATCGATGAAATTGGATTTTTCTGCTCTCCCATGGAGGACAATCACAGCAGCAATTGCCATCTCATAGCAAAAGTTCCACAGCACTCTGAAAGGAAGAAATACAAGGGGAAGAGCTTTAAAAAAAAAAAAGAAAAGAAAAAGCAATGGCTTGTATCTCTCTATCTCTGTCCCTGCCTCTGACTTGGTATCTTCATCTCTCCTCCTGTCTCGTCTTTTCGCAATCCCTCTCAATCTTTTTCCCCATCGAATCTGTTTGTGGAGACTTAAGGGCATCCTTGCTGCTTGTTGTGTGTTAAGATCAAAATGCAGAATAGTCTTGTCTTGCTGTATTTGTAGGACATGACTAAGGATGTTTTAGAATTTCTCTCTTACCATGAAGTGGTCAGTGAAGTGCAGAAATATTCCTCAGGCTAAAATTTTAAAAATAAAAAAGAGATGAGTTGATTGGATTGCATATGTACATGACTTAGTGACTGCGCCTATATCCAGTACATAAACCACAGAATGAGCACATACACTTTTCAGTCCTAACAAAAGAGCTTTTTGTCTGTTTTGTCAGGTTATGCCTCCCCTGGTCAGGTGTTTCCATTAACTTTGCTTGCATTTGCACCCTCCGATATTTGTCCTGCATTGTTTGTGAGCAGATTTAGTTACCTTTGGCTACAGATATGGTCCTTTTAGGAGTTTAAGTGTTCATGGCAATTACGGACAGTCCTGGCCGTCTTATCTGTGCATCGCCACCCGAGGATGATGTCATGCCCCTCAAGGCAAAAGCTTGAAGTGCTCACTCAATTCTGCGTCTGCAGGATGAGCTCAATAACAGTTTACCAGCCTCTTCCCTCCCCTATGAGCAAGTTGCAGTGAGTCACACGGCAGAAGTCTAATTTTCTCTTGCTCTGCAGTACCATAATGTTTGCCATGGAGGGGTTTTTCCCCATTCCGGCCCTCCTGCTCAGCAGCAGATAAGAGAGAGAAGCCATCAGTACGGGGAGTTATTTGTTTTATTCTTTAAAAAAATTGGATGCCTATTCTCTAAATTGAGCTGCAGCCTGTGTTCGGGTGCAGCTTCTATCTTCTCCGTATCACTGCAGTGCATTAGCAGTAATGACTTAATTTGTCTATGACACCCCCCGCCAGCATTTTGTTTGGCTCCCAACGAGCTAAAGAGCTAGTGGAAACCAAATTGAGTAAATGGGATGAAAATAAACAGAAACACAGTTTTATTCAAGAGATGGTAAATACTTGATTGCACACAGGGATATACACCGTACCTTGTTTCAGTAGCGTCACGGCTCTTTATCCGTTGACAAAGAATTACTCTGCAGTGATGAAAAACATCTTTCTCCTAGACTTAAATCAAGGTTGTGTTTTACTACTCCTATTCCTTTTTTCTATAAATTTTGGTTAAGGGAGAAATGTTTTCAACCTTTTTCTCAAGGACAATAAAGGCTAGTAAAAGGCTGATAAATGGTCAGGGCTACTTTTAAAATGAGTTGGGTGAACAGCAGGAAATCGCAATTTGATGCCACTCGGTAATTACACAAATTACACTATTCTCTGCCTCGTGGTGGTCTGTGTGCCACTGTTTATATAGAGACATCTAGCCACTGTGGTAAGCGTTGAAGCCTTTGGTAACATGTCCACCCATGCGCACGTTGTTTGTTTGTGTGTATGTGTATTGTAAGTGGCCCTGCAATCATCGTCACACACGGCCTTTTGTCCTCCCAGGTGGATTAGTGTGCTGATTAGTGCCAGCTCTGCCATTTAGGCAGGTATTATTACCTCATGCTTAGTATTCCAGACAGAGACTCAAACCCATCCAATCCCATCTCCCTCTTTCTCTTCCAATGGCTCAATTTCGGCATCCAGGAGAAGTCTTATTCTCATCTCTTTAGTAGCCCCCAAAATCTACTTTTAGTCTTTTTTCTATCTGTGAATAAGCTTCTCTTTAAATCCCTTTTCTTAGCTCTTGACAGTTTCTTTGTCTACACTGAAAACCACTTGATTCAAGGCCAAGAGGGCACTGATACAGCATGAGCTTACAAGTTAACTATTAAACTTTGGAAATGCTCTTTCCCTGTGTTATACATACAAACTAATATCTGCCTGAGGACACCTGCTGTGGGCCGGCAGAGTATTCAGACCCCCTCAGCAATTAATTGTTTTACAGGATGTTTTTCAATGTCAATATTTTTCCACTAACGACAAAGCAATAATTCTACCAGTCCCATGCACCCCTCTGCAAATCAAATTCATGCCTGAGCATTAGAGGAAATGTGTGTTTCTTGGATTTCATGATAAAATTTTTACTCATGGGACATGAGACGTCACATAGACATCAATCATTTCCGCTCAATTAAATTTGACACTTGGACTTAAGGCATCTCACAAGTGATAACACAACAGAGGGATACAAAATGTTTCTATAGAAGTGCTGCAGCAAGAGCCCAGAACACGTTTGTAAGATAGCTCTTCTTCGGTTTAACAGATATATATTTTTTAGTTGTGTGTTATTGAGAAGAATTACCATGTTGATGTCAAAGAAATAAAGTACAGTATTTTCAAATCACCTCACTGACTGCAGAGTGTGAAAAATTAAATGATTCTGAATCCAACCCCTCTGTACGAGTGTCTATTCAAATGAAGCACACTCAAATCCGTCTCAGGCCTTTTGTCAGCATTGTCATGTCCCATCGTCTTTTAGCCCTACAACACATAACTATTGATCTTTTCAGCAGCACAGTTCATTCTTATTGATCTTTTCTGAACTATGATAAATGCCCTTCCTGCAAGGAGGTTAAGTCGGGGCAGATGGGACCAAGAAGCTTACATTCATCACATTTTCTACTGTAGATAGATCATTCGTGCAAAATAATTGAAGTTTTCGGTTTCCATTAGATAAGATCCTGTATATCATGCATTGCGTTATGCAGTGCGAAGTTGATTGTGTCGCTCAACAAGCCCACAGGGAACGGCACCAAACTTCTAATTTGACTGATTTCATAGAATGTCAAATTATTCTATTGATGTATATCTTCTTTATCTGAAGACGTTGGCAGCAATTGACATTCTGCTCGTTTTGTCCCCGGATCAAACCTCACACGACTCAATCAAGCTATCCATCACACTTTACAACCTCTCACCGTATGATCATAAATGTGCATAGCAGCCACCGAGGGCTGGCAAACAGATCTTCCTGGAGTTGTATAAATGGCGTAAGAGCTGGGTTATATGGCCATGTTTGAAGAGGTAATTCAGGTTGAGTGGTCCTGCTATGGCTTCATTTGCTATGGGTCACCTGGGGATTATGACCGCTGCTCTGTGCGCTGTTGACTAGTGACACTCTGACCTTACAGGATTACTGACCGTTATTACAGCAGTCATTTTTGTGAGGGGATAAGCACAAATGCACACGTACACACATACATACACACACACACACACACATAAATACCCATAATTCACGCCCCTCACACCAAGAGGAAAACATGTAGTGAGTGCAAAAATGATAAACCTACAACCTACATACACCTCCATGTTATGGACTGTAAATCTAACTGGCAATAGACCTCTGGCCTTAATATCCCTGTCGATCAAGTTTTAATGAAGTGATGATAGATAAGGCAGGGTTGAAGAAAGGACTTTACCAGGTCTAAAACAAAGACTGTACATATCGATGGACGACACCACCCCTGTTTGTCAGCTCAGTTTTTATAACATCAAAACTAATTGAAAACCAAACTGACTGGAAGAATTAACCAACAACCTAAAATGAAGAAACTATCTTTGAGAAAAATGTATTAAATGTGTTAGTTTGATTAATGTCCCATCCACTGACATGGAGAAACAGGGTGTATGACCCATACACACATACTGCAGCCAGCCATCAGGTGACGATCGAGACGCTCTGGTTTCACTTTTTAAGAACTGTAATGTCGTCCATCTTTTAATACATATTATCGTCTAAACCTCTAAAGTTTAATACTCCTGAAATGTTTTCTTTTGGTTTTAATAGCTTCAAACTGAGATGATGGACACTTTTGTAGAAGAGATAAAATCCCATTTTCATGAATCTCTCACTCACAAGTTCCTCTGTTTTTCTGTCTCTCTCTGCAGAGCGCTCAGTTCTACAAGGTCACCACAGAGAACTACCACAAAGCTGCAGACCGAGTGAATGCCAAGTTCAAGTAAGTTCAAACAGTTGATCCAAGGTAGATGAAGACTTTAGATCACGTAATTTATACCTCGATCAATCAGACTTTTTCCATTGCTTCCTTGTTTTAAGTTAGTTTTTTTACAGAAATCCTAATGTCACACACATCAGGTTTGGAATCTTGGGAGGCTTTATGTGTATTGCTGCACGGAGAAAGATGAATTTAAAAGCACTGTTATCACAAAAGATTAGAAATCCATGTGGACTGACTTGTGGGTCCACTATTGAATTATGTCAGCCACATCCTAACCTACGCCTTTCAATCAGAACCACATTAGCCTGGCCCATTAGCTGATGTTGATGATGCTGATAAACCAGATTGCATGATATAATAATAGCTCACAGAGCTTTTCTTGTACTCTTTTATTATTTCACTGTTACAGGAGTGTCCTCTATCGTGTAAAGCTTTATCTTCAACCAGACCTTAGATTATTAAATCATTTGTAGCAGTTACATCATTGTGTTTTCATATCAAGACACTAACGATAACCTCTGTGCTTCAGAAACAAGTTCTACATCAGCTTCTCTTCTTTTGAATTAAATTGCAACTTCTACCAATAGTGCCGCCACCCCTCGAGATAAATATAAAGATGAATTAAACATCCGAGTGGTCAAGGATGTAGCACACATCCGACACATACTATATGTAACTCAAGAAGGTGCAGAATCCTTCCCCGTCCGTGTTCCATCTGTCTTCTTAATAAGAGGCCATTAGGCTCCATAGTAATGTAGGGAAAGTGGATGAGGAGCCTGCAGGAGGTGGGGCAAGAATGGGCCCTGGCTCTGAGCTCTCCTCCAGGGAGGCTAGGCTAATTGTGTTAGCTTGTCATTAGCCAGCGCTAACACTGGGATCATTGTCTCCCTCAGAAACGCTGGAAAGTGATTAGCCCAGTCCATTGGGGGGGTTAGCACGAGACTAGTAGAAGCCGGAGCTGAGACTTTCCAAATCACATTAAAGAAAAAAAAAACTGGAATAACATTAGTGCCAAATGACGACGCTAACTGAGAGCAAATGTTGGGCTAACGTGCAGGCAGTCATGTGACGCTGGCCTTTGCACGGGGAGCAGCGATTGGTGGATTGGATTATAGTGTGCATTAGCAAGGTCGTGACTGCAAGTATCCGTGCATGTGTGTGAGTGTGCACTAATGAAATGGCGGGAAGGTCTGGTCTTACAAGACAGGAGCAGGGATGCATTGTGGGGATCGGAGCAAGAGGCTAATTGGATTTAACAGGGTGTGTTGGACCCATCTTTGTTTACGTGTGCGAGTTCATGTGCGATGGTTTATGTTTGCATACACTCATATCTTCAACATAATAATGTGAGCCCTTCCTCAAAGCCCTTTCTCATGACAGATACCCTACAGAGATAAGATACTATCTGCAGCCGCTGTTGAATAATGGGAGGAAATATTTTTTGTCTCACACTGGCTTTTGATTTCCTCAAAGCTGAAAATGTCCCCCAGAGATGAAAAAACGAAGAAGAAAGATCGCAAAGGCGAGGTCTTATCCATACTTGATAGAATTAACATTTGATATGTTAATGTGAAAATGTTATAAAGTGCGGCAGATGACATCTTTCTTATTATAATGTCTTCATTTCCCCGCTGTGGCTCGTGTCGGCGCAGCTGTAATGAGAGTGATACTACTCTGGGGATTGATCAGTGTTAGGGCTGATATGAATGTATGGTTTATCATAGTAAAGCAGAGGATATGTGCGACCATGTCTGTCGAGGATTATAACATCTGTATGCATGTTTTTGAGAGATTTAATTATGGCTTTTGATTGGTTTGAGTTCGCTGCATGCATATGATATATAATTTGGATGATAGAGCTGTTGTTGTTTCATGTCATTGGGATCAGGACAAGACGGAAATCAGACCGTCTGAAGTATTATTAAGAAAATGGAGGATGCTGGCAAGAGAGGTCGTCCTTAGCAGATAATCTTGACACCAGAGCATCTCAGAAGCTGCTTGTGGAAGTATGTTGGGTTCTATACTGTAGACTAGCGAAGTAACAAACCTTAAAGTAAGGCTGTTTGTCAACAGCTTTGGATGAATTTCATGTCATGTCAAATTCGTTCGAACTTGATTTTTTAGAAAAGGCACAGCCCTAGAATGCTCAGTATGTGTTGCAGCTGTGTGGACCAGCTTTTCTTATACGTGTTCTTTGAGTTGATGCTCCAAAATAGTCAACATGGGAAATAATTGCTTTGGTTTGAAACAAATATTAGTCTAGTGTAGGGGATTGGATTCCACTGAAATGAAAAAATCACTCCTGCATTGCTCTTTTGGACGACTTGTACATCTCTGGTGCCAGTAATAGTCCTGCCTTTGTGGATTAATTTGGTTTCTTTGTGGTGTGTGATATACACAGGTTAACCATATAGTGTACAAATAGTTTTCAGCAGCAGTGCTACAGTGCTGTCATTTTCCTTAGCGGTGTTGAAAGAAATAAATTAAAGTGTGAGAGGTAGGGACTCAAGGGAGGGAAGGTGTGCATGTGTCTTTGTGCAGCCCGACTTTGTGTATCTGTGTAGTTTTTCTTTTCCTTTTTTGCGTTGGTGTGCTCTACAGCTGTTCCCTGCCGTTTTCCATATTCCCACCTGAGTTTTCTGAGGATGATGGAGCTCTCCCGACCCAGAACACCACTGCATCACTCTGACCTCATTACATCCCCACACACATTACATTCTGTCACACTTTTACACAGCTATAGTTCTGTACTTACATGCGGAGCAGTAAATACAAGGATTATTTGTGTGATGTCATGGTTCAAAAACTTTTCCCACAAAAAGGCAGCCACTGGAACAATATTGTCTGAAGCAAGTACTGGTAAAACTGTAGATAGGCCCCTCTAGTGTCTGAAATCATTGCTATGAATCATAAACTCCAGGCTATCACCCTGCTCTCAAAGACCGAGACAAAAGATGGTGTACAGGTCTTCCATAAAAGTGTAAATACACACAACATGTAAGAGATAATGTTACAACACGGTACGCTCGACAGGCGCATGCACAAATAAGACCGAAGCTTTTATTCACTTACCCTGTGACACTGAGTGTAAGATAAGAGTTCTCAGATGTGTGGAAAAGAGGCTATCTCTCCCTCTGCAGCTGATTTATATGCTGCCACATTCACCCCCAGTGTTTCTCCAGGTCTGATGCATTATCACACTGTCCAGCTCTGACTGTGTGACCTTTACTGCACTACATGTATGTATGCATACATATGTGTGTGTTATTGTACGTGGAGATGAATGCATTTGAGTGTGCTCATGTATAAGCATGTGTATGTGGATATCTGCATTGGAGAGCGTGCGTGTGTGTATTTAAGGTCTCGACAGGCTGCGTTTGACCCAGTGGGGCTTTAGTTTGAGATGCAAACTGACAGGCATGAAGGGAAATGATAGATGTGAGATTATGCGGAAAAAAGACGGAATGGGGAATGAAAGAACGGCGGCATGGCGCTAAGCTGTCCTGTCACCGCTAACCTTTCGGAGGGTTTTCTTTGGGCTTCCCTGTCGAAGGCGGTCACTGTGTTTATCCGGGGTCCCTGCGGAATTGAGATGGAACCAGGACGTCACATATTGGTGAACGTGTCCTTCTAACAAGACTAAAAATGATCTCATGACTCCGGAGTCTCAAAAACTTGGGGACGTTTGTCATAAAATCAGAGAAAGTGCTGTATTAATACCACTTTTTGATGATTAAGTGCGTATGCGTCGGTCAAAGTCAATCATTTTCTGCCCCCCCCATACAGTCATCTTTAGAGAATAATTTTCCATTTCTGCTTGTCACTCTCCTCCTCTCCCTCCGGCTATACACTCACTCCCTTTGTCTGTTTATTTTAAATTTTTTTATCACTTTATAATAAATCTTTTTTTTATTTATTTAATCCAGTTGACAATAACAGCAGCTTTGTCTCTCCGCACACACACACACGTAAAAGGTGGAATGCGGAGGCGTGGAGCAAAACTTGTTGAATGTAAATGGCTCATTGTTTGTCTTGTTTGTGCCGTAACACCGCAGTGAAGAGACCACACCTGACAGTCTGTCGTCTCCTCCATACCATGTGGGAGAGAGTGGAGCCCACTCATCCCTCATTCAGCCTTTTCTAACCGTAAACATCTCGGGAATAAACAACTTCAACAACCCCTCGTCTGCTTTATTGTAATGATACATCTAAATTGCACAGTATTACCAGAAAACCCTTAGTAATGTAAGTGCTGCTTATTAAAAGTTTTCAGTGCCGCATTTCCTATATTTGACACTGATGATTTGCGATGCTTTATTATAATTACACCAAACAAAGACTGGTCAGGTTAAGATCCACACTGCTGCACCAACATGTAAACGAGGTGTAGAGTCATGTAGAGAACTTTCTTGGCAGTGCTCCCTGTTTGTTAATGTGAATAATACTGATGAACCAAAATCAATGAAGAAATGATTTATTGATGTTAAATTGGGCCAAGCAGCACTTTTAATCACAAAAAATAGCAGTGATTGAATTGGCAGGCGGGTTATTGTTGAGGTATCTTTCTTGGCGAGGCAGGACGGGCTGAGCGGCATTTTTTGACCCCTCTGTCAGGTGAGGGTGAACCACAATTCCGTAGCTAGGCAACCTGGGGCGCAGGGACAAGATGGTGGTCAGCCAAGGAGCTAGAAGTCAATAAGGGCTTTAAAAGCTCTTCTTTCTGCCTTAAGAGCTCCGCCGCTCTGCCGGTAAAAAGTGCACACAATTCAAGGGACCTGCGTGGGCGTATCCACTGACACGCAACACGTACACGCACCTTTTAGTCGCAGACTTCAGAAACCCTCTTACAGCTTTTATTGCTTTTCTGGCCTGTTTGTGAGTTTTTCTTCCCATATAGTAAATATTACAGCGACATGATTGAAAGAACAGAAAATACCTGACATGTGGCACTTTGTGGATACTCAGAGGAAATGTGTTGCATATTTACCAATCACAAATTG